AGCCCCCTCCCTGAACTGCAACTCGGGTCTTGGTTTTGGATTCCTGGGCCTAAAGAATTCTCCCGCCTCACACTCCTGGGCTAGCTGGGACCACAGGTACGTACCACCGTACCTGGCTATTTTTTTTTTTTTTTTTTTTTTGAGACGGAGTTTTCGCTCTTGTCGCCCAGGCTGGAGTGCAATGGCGCGATCTCGGCTCACCGCAACCTCCGCCTCCTGGGCTCAGGCAATTCTCCTGCCTCAGCCTCCTGAGTAGCTGGGATTACAGGCACGCGCCGCCATGCCCAGCTAATTTTTTTGTATTTTTAGTAGAGACGGGGTTTCACCATGTTGACCAGGATGGTCTCGATCTCTCGACCTCGTGATCCACCCGCCTCGGCCTCCCAAAGTGCTGGGATTACAGGCTTGAGCCACCGCGCCCGGCTCCGCACCTGGCTATTTTTAAACAAATTTCGTGTAGCGATGGGGGTCTCACTGTGTTGCCCAGGCTGGTCTCAAACTCGTGGGCTCAAGCGATGCCTCCTGGCTTGGCTTCTCCACGTGCTGCCCCGCTCCGGGCAGCCTTTCTCCCAGCTATGGCCCAGGCCAACGTCCCCTTCCCTGGCTTTCCTTTAACCTTTCACTTCTTTTCCTGCTGGAAATATTCTCTCGACGTTCCAGAGCTTGCGTCCTCCCTCCCTAGATGCTTCTCATGCCAATGGCTCCACCTGTAGCTTCATGAAATCCTTGACTTCAGGGTCAGAAGGGACCCTTTGAGCCTGCTCGTTCACTCCTTCCTTCCGGCCATGCAGTGTCTCATTCCCCATCTCACGCTCTCCGGGAGGGCTGCCCGGACCTGCTTGCATAGCTCTGGTGACAGGGAGTTCACTGTCTCCAGAGCAAGCATCCCTGGGAGCGGCACCTCCGGAGGCCAGACTAAGGAGGAGCTCCCAGCCAGTGGGAATAAGCTTCCTGGCTGGGCGCGGTGGCCCATGCCTGTAAATCGCAGAACTTTGGGAGGCCAAGGTGGGCAGATCAATTGGGCCCAGGAGTTCAAGACCAGCCCGGGCAACAGCAAAACCCCATCTCTACTAAAAACACAGTAATTAGCTGGGTGTGGTGGCATATGCCTGTAATCCCAGCACTTTGGGAGGCCAAGGTGGGTAGACGGCTTGAGCCCAGGAGTTCGAGACCAGCCTGAGCAACATGGTGAAACCCCATCTCCACGAAAAATAAGAAAATTAGCCATGTGTAGTGGTGTGTGCCTGGAGTCCCAGCTACTAGGGAGGCTGAGGCAGGAGAACTGCTTGAACTCAGTAGAGAGAGGCTGCAGTCGGCCAAGATCGTGCCACTGCACTCCAGCCTGTGTGACGGAGCGAGACTGTCCCAAAAACAAAAACAAAAAGTTTCCTCCTGCCAGCCTCTATGCTTGGCTGGGGTCCGCAGGGGTCTCTCAGAAAAAGGCTGGCTCCGTCCCCTGGCCTTTATTTCTGGTGGGCTCTTGGGAGCAACCAGGATAGAACCCACAATTCTCCCCGTCTTTCTCCTTCTCACCTTTTCACATCTAGATTCCTGAAATTATCACCCTTGTTCCTGCTGCCAGTGCTGCCGCCATCTTTCCCTGCCACCCCAAGCCTAGGAATGTCTTCAAACCCCCTGGTTCCTTCTGTGTTAGAGCCCTTCCGTGTCCGGGCCGTGGAGTCGTCTCTGAACGCGCTCCAGGGAGCGGCTTCCCTTATAGTGCGGCTTCTAGTCTGAAATGGAATTTCTGGCCGAGCGTGGTGGTTCATGCCTATAATCCCAATACTTTGGGAGGCCGAGGTGGGAGGATCACCTCAGGTCAGGAGTTAGAGACCAGCCTGACCAACATGGTGAAACCTGTCTCTATTAAAAGTATGAAAATTAGCTGGGTGTGGTGGCAGGCGCCTATAATTCCAGCTACTCGGGAGGCTGAAGCAGGAGAATTGCTTGAACCCCCAGGAGGCAGAGGTTGCAGCGAGCCGAGATCATGCCACTGCACTCCAGCCTAGATGACAAGAGTGAAATTCCATCTCAAAGAAGAAAACTAAATAAATAAAATGGAATTTCCTAGGCATGGACTCATTGCTGCCAATGAGCAGAATCACCACCTCCTTCATTCTAGAAACTCTATTTCTATTAATGCAGCCTTGAATTGTTGGTGAGAACTTGCTTACACCTCGTCACCCTTTCCTGAAAGCAGGACTTTACAGTTCCCTCCAAACCTGTGCTTCCTCAGCAGCTACAGAACTAACATTTATTTAAGCATTTACTTTTTTTTTTTTTTTTTAAGATAGGGTCTCACTCTGTCACTTAGGCTGGGGTGCAGTGGTGCAATCACAGCTCACTGCAACCTCTACCTCTTGGACTCAAGCGAACTTGGCTGGGACTACAGGCACACTACCACACACCCAACTTTTGTATTTTTTGTAGAGCTGGGGTCTTGTGACATTGCCCAGGCTGGTCTCAAACTCCTGACCTCAAGTGATCCTCCTGCCTCGGCCACCGATTACAGGTGTGAACCACCGCACCCAGCCACCATCTACTTTTAAACTCTGTCATTTTACCTCTAATCCTCAAAGCAAACTTGCAAAGGAAGCATTCACTAAATTCCCTTCCTTTCTTTCAAAAATTTTTAACATATTTCAAATCGTGGTAAAATACACAAAGGCTAAAATTTACCGTCTTACCCATCAGTGTACCTTTCAGTAGCGTCAAGGACATATACATGGTTGTGCAATTAATCTCCAGAATGTTTTCATCTTGCAAAATCAAAACCCCGTATCTGCTTCACATCGGCTTCCTCTTTCCCTCCTCCCCTCGCCCCTGGCAACCACCGTGGCGCTTTCTGTCCCTCTGAAGTTGGCTCCGCTAGAGACTTCACACAGGTGGGACTTTGTCTTTTCTTGTGACTGGCGTATTTCCCCTGGCATAATGGCCTCAAGGTTCAGTTTTCTTTTGATTTTTTTATGACCAAGAAATTTAAGAGGTTAACAGACCCGTGAAGGCCACGCAGGAAATGCCGAGTTAGGAACTGAATCAAGCCTCATTCTGCGGTCAGCACCTTTCCCTACCGTCCTGTCTGCTGTGTCCTAAGACCGGGGTCCACCGAGTGGCTTCTGCACCTTGAGAAGTGTGTCCACTTTGCCAAACTTTTTTTTTTGAGGCACAGTCTTGCCCGTCTCCCAGACTGGAACGCAATGGTGCAATCTCAATCGCTGCAACCTCCGCTTCCCAGCTTCAAGCGATTCTCCTGCCTGAGCTTCTCCAGTAGCTGGGACTACAGGCGCACATCACCACGCCCAGCTCCTTTTTGTGATTTTTTTTTTTAGTAGAGACAAAGTTTCGCCATGTTGGCCAGGCTGGTCTCGATCTCTCGACCTTGTGATCCGCCCACCTCAGCCTCCCAAAGTGCTGGGACTACAGGCGTAGTCCTGAGTTCCAGTGCTTTGAGCCACTGTGCCCGGCCCGCTTTACCACTTCTTAGGTAGCTGGGGACTGCCTCTGAGACCACGGAGAGTCTGTTCCAGACAGTGCACTGATATTCACAGGGTAAGGCTCTCCTCTTTAACAAACCACAGCTTGCCCAAAAGTGCCATCTAAAGGCAAGGCATGCCCCAGACTTGCCTTGAGGGGAGTCGGGGAGTGGGTGGAAACTTGAGAAATAGGAATGGTGAATAGTGTGATGAAGGGTAACTCCTTCCAGTAACTGCTTCTTTTTTTTGAGATGGAATCTCACTCTGTCACCTAGGCTGGAGTGCAGTAGTGCCATCGGCTCACTGCAACCTCTGCCTCCCAGGTTCAAGCGATTCTCCCGTCTCAGCCTCCTGAACAGCTGGCTTATTTTTAACGTCACTGCACCTGCCTAATTTTTGTACTTTTAGCAGAGACAGGGTTTCACCATGTTGGCCAGGCTGCTCTCAAACTTCTGACCTCTAGAGATCCACCCACCTTGGCCTCCCAAAGTGCTGGAATTACAAGCGTGGGCTACTAAGCCCAGCCCAAAGCTCTTTTATTTTATTTTGTATTTTTTTGAGATAGAGTTTTTGCTCTGTTATCCAGGCTTAGATCTCGGCTCACTGCAACTTCCATCTACCCGGTTCTCCTGCCTAAGAGATTCCCCTGCCTCAGCCTCCTGAGTACCTGGGATTACAGGTGTCTGCCACCACACTCGGTTAATTTTTGTATGTTAATAGAGATGGGGTTTCACCATGTTGGCCAGGCTGGTCTCAAACTCCTGACCCCAAGTGATCCACCAGCCTCGGCCTCCCGGATTGCTGGGATTCCAGGTGTGAGCCAACACGCCTGGCTGGGGGACCACTTTCTTTCCAGAGTTAACAGTAGCACTGATGAAAGCGAAATGTTTTCCTGTTCTGTGGGGCCCCTGAAGAAGGAAGGGGTTTCTGGGGATGATTGAATTTTCCCGGCAGCAGAGTGTTTAGAACCACCCAACACCATGTGCCCATCTGTGCCAGACACTGTGCTGGGTACTTCCCACCAGGCCTCTCTGAGAGCCAAGTGTCAGCCAAGCGGGGGCCGTCAGCTGGGAGCCCTCTTTGGAGCAAGTGGCTGCGACCCATGAGAAGGTGGCGATAAGGAACTCTCCAAGGATAACACCGTGGCGAGATGTCTACACTAAGGAATTCTCCGAGGATCATACCGTGGCAAGATGTCTACACTGTCACGGATGCCACAGCTATCCAGACGGGTATTTAAGAGATGGAGTAAGGAAAAGGAGACAGTTGCCACTCTGAAGGGGATGTTCACCATGGGACGTCTGAGATGCTGGAACCACATCAAAGACTTTGCCAAGGAAACAGTGCCTGGGACTTTTTATGTCTTTTCCTACTTCTCACGACATCAGAAAGAGCATCGACGTGGAAAGCTGTCCGCAAAAAATGCAAGGATAACCGGCCTTGTAACTTTGGGTGACGCATCTTCCGAGACGCCAGGAATGGGCTCACTACTGTGGGGTTTGGGACTGAAAGCGTTCAGGGTCCTACCTGGTTTGCCCTTTCAAGGTCCGTCATGATCATTTCAATCTCGTCGGCCCTAGGAGGGTGAGAGGGAGAGAGCAGGTTAGTCACAAGGAGACCAGCTCAGGGGGTGACTGAGGGGACAGCTTCCTAGCTCAGGGCTCAGGAAGGGCTGTGCAGACCCAGCAGGGGGTGGGCTTGCACGGGGGGAAGAGACATGCTTTGCTGCCGCCATGTGTTCTCTTCATAATCGCATGTCTGGTGCATTTGACGGGGTCCCAATCTCATCAGGGAGACATAACCATAAAAAGATAAAATACAGCGTGTCCTGCCAAGGGTTCAAAAAGAGCTCTGAGCAGAGTGCTCTGGAAAAAAAAAAAAACTCAGAGGAGGGAGAAAAGAATTCTCTTTGTGGGAGGAAATCAAGGAAGGCTGCAGAGGAGGTGATGGGAAAGTGGGGTTTTTAAGGATGAGTAGAAGTTTTGCCAGGCTGGGGGTGAGAAGAGGAGCTGCAGAAAGGCTACTTTAGGAAAAGGCACTTGGCAGTGAAAGCCTCGCCAGGAATGAGGAAACCAGGGGAAGGTGGCCAGCCGGAGGTGAGGAGGGCGGGTGATGCTGGAGATGCAGGCTGGGGGGCTGCCCAGGCTGCCTGACTTCATTGCTATGGCCTAGCCCGCTCGTAAAAGCAATTGTCCAGGTTCTGTCTTTTCTGTTTTGTTTTGAAAGTACTTCTTGAGTAATCTGAACATACAGCATCATGAGAGAGCCATGTGGAGAGTGCATTTTTTGTTTGTTTTTTTGTTTTCAGACAGAGTCTCACTCTGTTGCCTAGGCTGGAGTGCAATGGCGCCATCTCGCCTCACTGTAATCTCCGCCTCCCGGGTTCAAGCAATTCTCCTGCCTCGGCCTCCTGAGTAGCTAGGATTACGCCCAGCTAATTTTTGTATTTTTAGTAGAGTCGGGGTTTCGCCGTGTTGGCCAGGCTGGTCTCGAACTCCTGACCTCAGGTGATCCGCCCACCTTGGCCTCCCAAAGTGCTGGGATGACAGGCATGAGTCACTGCGTCCAGCCTGGAGAGTCCCTTTGAGAAGGGCCTGGCCAACTCCAAAAGCTCGTGTGAGGTTAGAGCAGGACACCCGGGCAGACCGCCTCCCCAGCATCTGCAAGGAGGATCCGAGGATGGTCTCTGTTAGGAAGCCACAGGCTGGGACCCTCTGTGGCCCAAGGAAGGTTTTAGCACGCCCAAGGGCCGTGGGGCCACTCTTACAGCCACAGGGACCTGGTTGGGTTGCGGGCTCTCGTGCTGTGGCTCGGAGTCCACAACCACCCGCATTCTGATGCCTCCAGGATGCGATGCCCCCCTCACCAAGGCCCCTTCTTCATCTTGGCCTTGCCCGCCACTCATTCTTGGGGCCCTGTGCTCCCACAACTCCCACCACATGTGGGACCCTGAGGTGCCAGGCCTCCTGCGGCCCTGGGCCTGCACTGCCTGCCTGAATGCCTTCTCCTCTCAGGGAACCCCATCTCCTACTTCCACCCCGACCCTTCCGGCGGCTCCGTTTCAGGGAGTGGCACGGTCCCTATGCCTAGTGTGCAGGCTTGAGTTTTCATTTGGTGCCCACGCTGTGAGCTCTCTCCGAATGCTGGGACATAGGCCCCTTTTGCCCTATGTCCCTAGAATTTGCCCTGTATTCACGGGACTGTGTGTCCGATTGGATGCTAGAGTCCTGGATGTGGCCCATCCTACTCCTGGGGACAGCCCAGGGCACCGGACAGGCCTGACAATGAGAACTGTGTCCTTCCGAAACCCGCTTCATGGTCCCAAGAAGGCAGGAGCAAGTGACAGCACCCACGCACCCCGCTGTGGTTTGTCGCCAGCAAAACGGGTCCTGAAATTTCCTCCCCAATGTGGGGGCACTGGGAGGTGGGGCCCAGGGGAGACGTTTGGGTCATGGGGGCAGATCCCCTCATGAATGGCTTGATGCCGTTCTCCTGGCAGTGAACGCTCTCTTGTTCTGACTGGACTGGAGGAACTGGTTTAGTCCCCTTGAGAGTAGGCTATCATAAAGCCAGGAATCTCCCTGGGTTTTCCCTCTTGGCATGCGTCCGCCTCCCCTTTGACCCTCTCTGCCATGTTATGACGCAGCATGGAAGCCTTTGCCAAGAGCCAGGGCCATGCCCTTGAATTTCCCAGCCTGCAGAACCGTGAGCCAAATAAGCCTCTTTTCTTTCTTTTCTTTTTTTTTTTGAGATGGAGTCTCACTCTGTCGCCAGGCTAGAGTGTAACGGCACAATCTTGGCTCACTGCAACCTCTGCCTCTTGGGTTCGAGCAATTCTCCTGCCTTAGCCTCCCAAGCAGCTGGGACTACAGGTATGTACCACCATGCCCAACTCATTTTTTGATTTTTAGTAGAGATGGGGTTTCACCATGTTGGCCAGGATGGTCTTGACCTCTTGGACTTGTGATCTGTCTACCTTGGCCTTCCAAAGTAACCTCTTTTCTGTATAAATCACCCAGCCTCAGGTATTCTGTTGTAGCAACAGAAAACAGGCTGAGGTACACCCTGAACGCTGAGAGGTGGAAAACCTGTCTCTAAGCCCCAGGACTGGGGAATTTTTGTGGCCTGAGGCTTTTGCAGCCTTTAACTGCATGCGGTGATTTGAGGCAGTCTTATCAACTCCCAGCAGCCTGAATGGGGAACAGATGCCTTGTGATCGGGTTCAATGTTCACTGTATCTGTTTGAAATAATATCCGGCTTTCAGACTGGTCTGAGAAAAAGTCTGAAAAAGCCTGTCAAGTGGCCTAGTTAAATGAAGCTATTTTTAGGTCGATTTCATGAAGAATGCAGTGTCTCTGTAAGATAAATACCCAAACTGGGCCTCTGCAATACAGCGCTGGGTGCAGGGAGTCGGGGAAGGACCAGGCTGCTTAAATGACGAGACATCCCACTGCATTCTCTCAAAGTGAAACCTCCAAGATCTGATGGAAAAATTGCTGTGCAAAGATAGTCTACTACTGCAAATGGTAATTTCAAAAAATCGAAAGTGTTAAGGGTCTTAAAACGCATCCGAAAAGGGTAATCACCAGTCACTGCAGAAAGCTGCTACCTTGATACCCTGTAGATGAAGAATTCAGAGGGGAAACTCCCTCAGATACTAAATAAAAAAGGTGGCGAACTTTTCATAAGGCAAATCGCAAAGCTTTTTTTTTTTTTCTTTTTGAGACAGGGTCTCACTCTGTCACCCAGGCTAGAGTGCAGTGGCGTGACCTTGGCTCACTGCGGCCCCTGCCTCCTGGGCTCATGAAGTCCTCTTGCTTCAGCCTGTGGAGTAGCCAGGACTAGGGCATACGCCACTACACCCAGCTAATTTTTGAATAAATATATATATATATGTATATATATAAAATAAGGTAGAGACAGGGTTTCACCATGTTGCCCAGGCTGGTCTTGAACTCCTGGGCTCAAGCCATCCACCCGCTTCGGCCTCCCAAAGTTCTGAGACTACAGGCATGAGCCACTGTGCCTGTCCCAAATCACAAGTTTTAAACACAGTTTTGTGCTTCCATCAGTTAGTCAATTACTTCTCGTGAATTTCTGATGTCCACATGCACAGGTCAAAACTGCCCTGGCTACCAGCATCATTCATTCACTCACTCATTCCATGAGCATTTCAGACACCTGAACGTTTCCTGGTGCTGGAACGGGACACAGAAAGGCAGATACGGGTCCTGCGTATCTCACCAATGTCATAGATTTAAAAGATGACGATGAAAACACATAGCTGCTGAGTACCCACAACAAGATACGCAGGGGTTTGACAACTGTCTAAATCCTCCTCTGAATGCACCAGCAGAGCCGGCAGCAGAACTTGGGAGGTGGCTGGGGACTGGTCAGGCTGGTGAGTGAAGAGACACTGAATGTGAGTCTAAGGTGAGGATTTTTCCTAATGGCTCTAGTATGGCCCTATATAAGCCCGCTCATCTTTCTTTAATTCTGGCTAATTTGTTTTCATTTGAATACTTCTGCTCTGTTCGAGGCTGCTATTATTTGCATACTGTTGGCAGAGCTACCTTGGTCCTCCATGTCACTCAACTTTTCTTTTAAGTTTTGCTATTTCTTTATCCTTTCCTGCTGCCTTCTAGATCAAGGTTAACTTGATCTAACTTGTCTTTAATAATTTACATTTTTTTTTTTTTTTTTTTGAGACAGGTTCTTGCTCTGCACCCAGGCTGGAGTACAGTGGTATGATCACGGCTCAGTGCAGCCTCCACCTCCTGGGCTCAAGTGATCTTCCCACTTCAGCCTCCCTAACAGCTAGAACTACAGGTGCATGTCACCATGCCTGGCTAATTTTTCTCTCTCTCTATTTTTTGTACAGATGAGGTTTTGCCATGTTGCCTAGGCTGGTCTTGAACTCCTGGGCTCAAGCGATCCTCCCCCCTCAGCTTCCCAAAGTGCTGGGATTCTAGGCGTGAGCCACTGCGCCTGGAGTCTCTATTTTCTACTGCTTCTTTCTAGAATTCCTATTAGGCGGATGTTGGATCTCCTGAATTGATCTCTAAATTTCTTTTCTTTCTAACTTCCATATCTATATCTCTTTAGTTACTTCCTGGGAAATATATTCATCTTTATTTTCCAGGCTTGTTTATATTCTTTTATTTATTTACTTAAAAATTTTTGCTTATAGAGACAGGGTCTTGCTATGTTGCCAGGCTGGTCTCAAACTCCTGAGCTCAAGCAATCCTCCCGCCTCGGCCTCCCAAAGTGCTGGGATTCCAGGCATGAGCCACTAGACCCGGCCAGCAATATGTCCTTTCTTCCTTGCTCCTAAGTTATTCCATTTTTCACAGCTGTTACTCGATCCATTTGAAAATCACCTGTTGGTTCCGTTTCACATGGCCAACATCTTCCTCTGTTTCCCTGAGTGCCTTTCGTGTGCTGACTTTGTCTTTGTGGCTCAGCTGTCCTGCCTCACATCACACCCACCGTTGGGGTCTGTCTTTCAGAAGGGGTGCTCTCCTCTGGGGCCCAGCTGTTTCTGCCTGTGTCCTTGGGACCACCCCCCGTGCCCG